ATATTTTATATTTTATATTTTATATTTTATATTTTATATTTTATATTTTATATATTATATTTTATATTTTATATTTTATTTTTCATATTTTATATTTTATATTTTATATTTTATATTTTATATTTTATAATTCATATTTTATATTCTATATTCTATATTCTATACAGTCCATAGAGTCAAAGAACTTGACTTAATTGTGGTACTCGACTTTAATTTTGTTGGTGAGTGTAAATACACTTGGCAAAGCTAAAAGCTGAGCATTCACGGATTGTGTTTCTTTGTTCCAGGCGTGAAAGCGAGCTGAATGAAAATGGAAATGGAAAAAGGCGCTTGATACCCAAGCGATAGATAGATGCAGATACAAATGCAGCTGTGTGTGTATGTGTGTGTGTGTGTGAAATGCGAAAGTGATAATTAAAAATCGCGCTATAGACTTGCAGTTGTTGTGCTATATATATTTACATTTATATATGCATGTATGTGTGTGTGTGTGTGTGTGTGTGTGTGTTGCCTGGTTATTGTGTTGCATCTGAAGTGGGATATTGCAATCAGGCAACATGGGGCAAGATGGATGTGGCAACATGCATGAAGTGATCAATGTGCCTAACAATGATTGACGGCATTTCAATGAAGTGCTAGAGCTGGAGAGGGAGGGAGGGGGAGAGTCAGTCAGCCTGCTCTGTGAGAGAGAGAAAGAGGGGAGAGAGAGGGAGGGAGACACTGGCTGCTGATGACAAACAATTATGCAGAATTTTGCAGGCGTGCGCAATTTTGTGCAAAAAATTAATTTTGCATTTTTAATTTTGCATAGATTGCTCGACGTGTGTGTGTTTGTGTGAGTGAGAGGTTGGCTTGGTGTGCGAGCGCTTAAAGACTCACAGCGAGTCTTTAAAAACGCAGAGCGTTACCCCTCTGATTAATTGCTGAGCCAGCAAACAAAGCCCTGCCGGCTGCTATCACAAAGGATTGATAAGTGCTCGACTTCGAGCTGGCATCAGGCGAGCCGCCTCGACCAATAATCTCTCAATAGTGCTCGCAATGCGGCCAGAGGGCCACGTGTCCATTGTAGCCAACCATGGGCGATGAGCTGATGCTGCCGTTGCCTCTGCTTCGGCTGCTGCTGCCTCTGCTGCTGTTGCTCAGCTCATTCGCAGCGCGCTGCCCGATCACTAAAGATGTTGACCAGCAGCAGCTCCAGCTACAGCAACAGCAACTGTTCCAGCGCCAGTTCCAGCTCCAGCGCCAGCTCCTCCTGTGTCCAGGTCAGCCGGGATGTGCAGCAGCAGCTGGTGCTGCTGCGCCTCCTGCCGGACTCGCCCGGCTTGCAGTTTCCGGAGATTTGGCTGCGCGACAATTGCCAGTGCAGCACGTGCTACATGCAACAGACGCGCAGCCGCCTGCCGCAGGGCTGGAACTATCTGGATCCCTCGGTGCGGCTGCAGCAGCTCAGCTGGTGTGCGGAGCGCCAGAGCCTGCAGATCAGTTGGAGCGATGGCCACAAGTCCAGCTTCCCCTTGAGCTGGCTGAAGGAGCGCGATTTCTCGCCGGCGAATCGCGCGCTTTACTTACGCGATACCTATCGGCCGGAGCAGCGGCTCTGGGGCGGCACGGAGTTCCAGCGCATACAGCGTGAGTTTCTCTACGACGAGCTGCTGCACAATGATGAGGCGCTGCTGCAGTGGCTGCACCAGCTGGCCGTCTACGGCCTGGCGCTGGTCAAGCAGGCGCCGCTGGACTCGAATGTGCTGCGCAATCTGTGCAATCGCGTGGGCTTCATGCGCAGCACCACCTACGGCGATGAGTGGAGCGTCAAGGCGCAGCCAGGTGCCAGCAACTATGCCTACCTGGCCGCACCGCTGCCCCTGCACACAGACATGCCGTACTTTGAGTACAAGCCGAGCATCACGCTGCTCCACACGCTGCAGCAGTCGGAGTCACCGGGCGGCTGGAATCTGCTCAGCGATGCTTTCCATGTGGCGGATCTGCTGCGTCAGCGTTATCCGGGCGCCTTCAAGGTGCTCAGCGAGACGCCCGTCGACTGGGCGGACATTGGCAGCGAGAAGAATCTGAGATTCCACAACATCTGGCGGGCGCCAGTTATCAAGTGAGTGAGGCAAAGCTGTGATGATTCTCTTATACTAATCTCTCTCTCTATCTCTGTCTCTCTCTGTTTGTCAGCTTGGATGCCAATGGCCGTTACGTGCGCATCAACCTGAGCATTCCGCAGCGAGACAGCCATTTCAGTGTGCCCGCCGAGCAGGTGCGTCCCTGGTACGAGGCCATGGCATTGTTTATGCGGCTGGCCAACGAGCAGGCATGCACGTTTAAGACAACGCCAGGTGATGTTCTTACCTTTGACAATGTGCGCATGGTGCACGGCCGGACGGGCTACGATGACACCGAGCAGAATATTCGGCATATTGTGGGCGCATTTCTGGACTGGGACATTGCCTATTCGCGTTGGCGTGTGCTCAAGAATGATTTGGGTCATTACAATAAATAGCCTTTATTAGCCGCCTTATCAGTAAGCATGTAAATAATTAACAAACCCACACATAAATAGTTCCCCCTTTGTGCCTGACCCACACCGCCTCTGACACTGCCCAGCAACTGGTTTAATCAGCTTGAAACATTGTATTCAAATAACATGGGAATAAAGATTATAATGTATATAATTACACATTAAATCGAATGCAGTGTTTATTTATTAATTAAATCATTATTATTTTTTTTTGCTGATAACAAATAACATAATAAAAACCCGTTCGTTAATTAATGCAATGCATGAGAGCAGGGGATTGGCAAGTCAACAAACCAGAGCGTGGATTGTGGATATTGTCTGTGTGGAAGATAATTTACTCATTCTAATTGATCCCGTTACAATTTGTCGTACGCCTGCTAGGGCAACACTCAGCTGCGCGTTGCTTGTTGTTAGTGTGAGTGTGGAATTCTAGATGATTCCGTTACAATGTGTCGCTAGCACTGCAACAGAGAGGGAGCATCGTGTTTGGTGTGAGTTCGAGGGAGAGAGCTAATAAGGCTCTGATTTACTTTTCGCATATTGGAAATGGTATGAAGCAAAAGAGTTGTATTGGAAAGGAAGAGCTAGCTTAAATACAGAAAGAGCAATTAGTCAGTGAGCGCCAGTTCTGTTGGTCGGATGTGTTCCTTGTTCGTTTTTATGTTTCGTTGCTAAATTAATAATTTGGTGTCTAATGCAAATATTTCAATAATTATCTTAGTTTTTTTTTATGTGTATAAATATGTACATACTTACATGTGTAGAATTATTTTTTTTTCTGTGAGTTAAAGTTTGTGGATACATACAACATAACTATAATATAATTTTATCATGCTCGCAAAGGTAAGATCAATACATTACGATTCTATATATATGTATGTACATACATATGTACATATCTACATACATATGTGCATATACATATGTAATTATCATAATAATTACTTATGTATGTACATATGTATTAATTATCTATTTACAGTTGCTATTATAGCACGTAATAAGTTTGTCTTTTCTCTTCTTACTTACATGTAGTTATTCTCGTTTTGCCTTACACTTTAAGTGCTACTTCGTAAATTTGCATTGGCAGCTTAACTTTGTTTGTATGATGAGTGTGAATGTCTTTTGACAGCTCATTCGCATAAATACCGTTTCTGATTGTAGGCACAGCAGAGAACACGTGTTGGGATATGAGCGAGAGTAGGAAGGGTAATATGCTTTTGATCCCATAGCAAAAAGCGTACATAGGAAATGGCATGGAGCGTGAGAATATTAAACCGTTGCATGCTCATTGCTTCTGTTGTTTGAGTGAGAATGTTAGTTTAGCGAAGACACAAATCTAATAAATGAATTGTAATCCACTTCCAGTGGAAGTATAAGAAGAGAGTGAGCTACATACGAATAGAGATTCTCAAACGCATATTTGAATTTGCTCTTTAATTAATTTCTTTTAATGAGGCTATTATGAATTGGTACTAAAATATTGAGTCTTATTATAATTATGTTTATATATAGTCAATGCTATTTACAGAAATAATTAACAGGGCATCTGCTTGTACATACAGCGAATGTTGTTTATTAATTCGATGATTAAGAAGGGAACGCATGATTTGAAGTGAAAGTCTAAGACACGTCATTGTTTACGCGCAGCTCAAAAACTGTAAATGACTGGCGGTTATTTGGGGTGCTGTTATCAGTAGAAATGAATGAATGTTTTTGCCGTTTGTCTGTATGATTTCTGTTCTGTTATACTTTGGCATACGCGATTAGCTGTTTATCAATTTATGGCCAGAGCCAGAGACAAGCATTGACCTGGCTGAGCTTTTAGTGTCAGCGTAAATCACACAGCTGTGCTTGTGTGTGTGTGTGGGTGTGTGGGTGAGTGAGAGTGTGCTGAACCCTTTAAAACAAGCAACAAACCAAGTGCGGACAGGGGGCTGGAGTGGGCGGGGTAGTTGGTATTTTTACGGCACATTTTGACGGCACCTTTTGGTAGAGCCGGAAGCTGTTGCTTGTTGGTTTTGCTTCGTTTTTTTTTTTCTTTTTGTGTGTGTTTGGTGTGGTTACCCAGTGGCAAATCCTTGGCAAATCTTTTTATTTATGTCATTGATGCTACACACACACACACACACACACACTAAAATACACTGGCAGACACATGAGAAACACACATCTACAGCATGTGATTTTGGTAGCAGTGCAATACTTGCTAGCCAAGTAAATCCCTCTAATAATCCACATAATAAGCAGCTAGAGAGTCCGCTGAAGCAGCAGCAGCAACAGTAACAGCTGACAGCAAAAAAGGGTTGCAGCCACGCCCAACCTGCCTCCCACCCTACCTGTCGCATGTTTATAAGTTCATAAAACTGAACGAGCTGAGCTTTGAGTGGGGTTTGAGGCTTGGTCTGTTGCACATAAAAGCGAAGTAAAAATAAGAGAAGAGTCGCAAATCCAATTTCTGTTTGTGGTTTGGGCCAAGTCTTTTACTGCTACCACGGCCATAATGTGTAATTGAAAACCCTGCGCTCAACTATTGCACTCCCGGGGCCCACTCCATAGCCAATGTGTGTATGCGATCTGCTCTCTAAAAACTAATTGGCACAGTTGTGGCCAGCCAAAAAGAAGAAGTGAAAGAAGAGGGGAAAAAAAAGCGAGAAACATAGAGATAGATAGAGGTTTATACGCTGTGACACTGACACCGCTGGCCATTATGTAAACAAGGCCAAGAGCCAGACCGAATGGCCAACCCTTTGGCCAAAGGAGCAACTGGGCTGCAAATAATGCGCTCAATTTGTAGACACTTTCGGCAGACGGCAGCCAGGACAGACAATCGCCAAACTAAAATGCTTATATACAATTTCCGCTAACCGCCCCCTCATTACACACATACACAGAGAGAGTGAGAGAGAGAGAGAGAGAGAGCGAGTTAGATAAAGGGTTTTGGCTATGGCCCAGTTTTTGCTTGTGCCAACTTTTGGTCTACCAACGTCTTTTTCCTCTGCTTCTTCTCCGTTGCAAAACTGTCACAATGATAAACATGCGGCAATTGACGCAATCATTGTCTGTCCATGAATTGAATTAAATCAACTCAAGTGCGACAATCCACAGCGACCCATCCCCCAGTGCTGGCAGCAACCATCCTTCAAGACATATGGATAACGTTCACTCTATGCCCAATTTGGACTTTTTATATACACTAACTCAGCGAGTTTAATGAAATTCGCATTGCAGGCAAATGTATATGGATAATAGATATATTTTATTTATTTGAGGAATTTAAGTTGAAATGATTGGAATATAATCTAAAATTAAGACTAGCTAATGAATTAAATACTGGCCACTGCGGCCTACGGCTTATATTATTTATATAAACAAGAATTTATATCATTTGAGATAGATTTTCTATAATGTAATGTCTTCATGTTTTATTTATTTATTAATTATTAATTTTGTTTTTTAATTCTTATAATTTTTAATCATTTTTAATGTTAACCCTCCTCACTAGAAATTATATTATTAGATATAAATATTATATTTTTGTATATAATATTATATTAGGTATATTTTTTCACTTATGAATGAAATAAATATTAAAAATCTTCTATAATTACAAACATACATAAGAAATATATTCCATTAATATGTTCGCATATTTTGCGCATAACTTTCTCAAGCCAACTTGTTAGTGTATTTGCTATTCGCTCAACTATGCATCTATCCCTATCTGATTTCATGTCCTTTCTCCTGCAAATGAATGGTTTCGTGTCATGCACGCGTAGACATTGAAATCAAACTAAAATAAGTATATAGAGTGTCTGTATCAAATCATATCATACAAATGATAGTCAACCCTTTTGTATAACGATGCTGCACACACTCACACACGCACATTAATACACATATCCATGCATATGTATATGTATTTGTATATGTTACATGTATATTTGTGGTAGGGGCGTATGCGTAATGCGGCCTGTAATTCCGTTTGATTTCGCTGCAGGACATTAGCGCGGGCTCAACCTCGCATTTCGCTTATTAGAATTCGCTTGTGCCGCTGGAGTGTAATAAATTTTGGAAGCTGTTGCTGGCTGCCACACAGGCTGCCACATAGCATACGCACACACACGTGCTACATTCTCTCTCTCACACACACATACAGTCAAGCAGCAATTTCGATGTTTATCACCAAAGCGTCTGCAGCTCTCGCGCTCTCTCTCTCCCACTCTCTCTCTTTCTCTGTCTCTCTCTCTGTCTCTGTCTCGCTGTTGTCTGCACGTCTGCTGTGGTTATGTGAAATCACATCGTAAAAATGTCCAAGTCCAAATGCTGTGCACCAAAGCTCATAAGTCCTGCTGGTGCTCCCCCTACCCCTGCCCCGGCCACAGTGCTGCCAACTCCTGCCACCACTTCAGCTTGCTGCTTGCTGTTTTTCTTGTGCCGTTTCACCTGTCGCCTGGAATTGGCATTAGCGCACACAACCCTTTACTTGTATAGGTCTTCTCTTCTTCTGGTCTTTCAATTTATAGATGGCGCGCATATAAATATTTATTTCCATGTGCAGATGCCTACACTTGGCTCTGGCGCCACCAAGCACCACCAAAACACCACTAACACCACCTCAACCACCGCAACCACCTCGACCAGCATCGCATGCCATGCCTTGGCATCATTATTATTTTTATGATGGCCTTAAAAGCATCTACCTGGGCGATCAATAAACATTCATGTCTGACATGTCTCGACTTGCAGTTTTCAATGTTTTTCAATAAGCGAAAGTGCCTGGCCCCAAAAGCATAACGGCTGTTGCAAGTTCAGCATGCGTGTGTGTGTGTGTGTGTCTGTGTGTGTGTACCATCAAATAATTAAAGGTCAACCAAGCTCAAACTGGCTGAGATCAGCCGCAATTCCTCTCTCACCCCCCTGTACCCTTAGCTCTGTGCGCCTATCATTTTTATCGCCAAGTAATTTATTTTTTTTTTATTATTGTCATTAGCTGACATAAAAAACATATAACAATGCAAATACG